GTCTGAATCCGACTTTCCCAGCTGGTTTTCTGAGATCTAAACTTAAACTTAAAAATAAAAAGCGTCGGAGAGGAATAATTAAAAAACGCTTTAGGTTGAAATCAGGTGTTGAGTAAACTGAACTTACTACGTTGCGTAATGCATTGCGTTCGAAGGGTAATTCTGCGTCATGTAAGAGACCGAATGGAAAAAAAAAGAATATCGTTTGCCTTGAAACCAGCAGGTGTCTAATCCATGTTATTTGTATCATACTGAGCTTCTCTGAGTACAGAACTCATACAGTGATCTTTCTTCGAAAACGAATTTTCACGGGTTAGGTATCGAGAATGATCGATGGACCGGCATCAATTGAAATTGGTTCTGTTGGGTGCACTCATTTTGACGTACGTCCTGGACCGATAACAAGTTACCGCCATAACTCCCACGATCTTTGCACGAAACTTTCAAAAGGGACAATAACCTTTATTTTTATACAGCCAGTCAGTTGTTTTCATTTTCTGTCTAATTCCACAATACGACGTGACATCCTCTGAATGACGTCCGTCGGGCAAAATTTAATGGAAGTATTTTGGATTCACTTAATCCAGGCCCCTATTCATTTAGTTTTAACTTGTTTGATGAAAGCTTTGTTGATATCGCATCTTCGATGAAGAGACGTTGTGTTTCTTGTTTTCCCGCTTAGTCAGCCCTGCAGTGATGAGTGAATTAAATCACTGAAGGAGAAATGGGATCTCTTTGGCGTTCGCTTTCTCCTTCAAGTATACGAGACAAATTGTCGGCTTGCAAACGCATATTCTTATGAAAATCAGATTTAGTTTTAAAATTATTTGAAAAAGCGAACGAATTCACAGCCTCAACTAGAGCACCAGAATTTAATCGCATAATTTTTTTTTTGCGGAGAATGGAAATCGAAACACCTGCCAAAAACTGCTAGCATATAAAACAAATTGAATTCAAAAGGTTCACGAAGTAGATGTTATCAAGACGAGACTTTTCGATTCTTCAATATATCAGTCTTAATTTGCATAATTTTTCTTTATTTCTTCCACCTTTGGTTTGCGCAAATATTACAGAAAAAAGAATGGATAGACTAGAAATGAATGTCGTGGTAAATTATTACGACAATCATTATTTATTTCACAATTCACACTAACGTAATTTGATCCTCTTAGTTTACCGGTGAAAAAAAAAGGAAGACTTGGAGGGATTTTAAGAGCATTTTGGCCATTAATAGTTTAAAAAAAAAAAAATTTCGTGACAACGAAGTATTACTCTCACGGGAAATTATTGATATTAAACCATCTCTAATGATACGAGCAGTTTAACACACAGTTATTGTTTTAGATACCATTTCACAAAAGTTCCGGCCTAAGGAAAAAGCGAAAGTAGAAGACACACTGTTCCGTGTCTAAGGGAAAACGGGAGATAACAAAGAGTCCCTCTAGAATATCTTAACATGGCCTCTTTTTGGCTCTCGAACTGTATATGTTAGCTGCAGTACGTGATGTTAAACAAATTCGAAAATGTTGATTTTAATTTAACTGCGTGGTCGATTGATATTATTTGAAATTCAAATGATCCTACGGAAGAATAAATAAATAGTTAGATGTTCTCCAGCGGTCAAATAGTCAGGCTGAAAAAGCGGGTTTGTTTGCCAAGATTAACAGAAACATCTCACATTTAGCTAAAGAGAGGAAAAAACAACTGCAGAACGCGGTGGAAGTTACAAAGGGAGATCGTCCGGAAGCCACAATGGAAAAAGTTGGTGAAATTTTGAATGACACAAGAAATCGCGTTATTGACAATAACTCAAGTGCAAAAAATACAACATTGCCAAGTGTCTATCCAGAAGATTCATTATTAGCGGCAATTTTCAAATGCTTGGCTTACAGCTTGATAGTTGTTTTTTCTGTCACTGGTAACTCTCTGGTCATAGCAGCTTTCAAGCTCAACGTCGACAGGAAACTTCGCACTGTTAATAATATGTTCATTGTGAGCATGGCTGCCGGAGACTTGCTCCTCACAGTGGCAAGTACACCAGAGCGAATCACAAGAATTCTGGCTGATGAGCAGTGGATTATTGAAGGGAACTGGGGAGTATTCCTGTGCAAGACGAGTAATTATTTGGAAAAGCTTTTCATGAATGTTTCAGTAATACATCTAGCGATGATTGCAATAGATCGCTTTCTAGTTGTGTACTTTCCCCACAAGAAGATTATCACAGCGACAAGAGCCCGTGTTATCATTGCCATCGCTTGGTTAGGATCCGCTCTTTACTGTGTCCCTTTGTTTTATTACGCCAACTTGCTGGAGGAACACGGAAAAATTTACTGTAAAACGCGACAGTTTTTCAATAATTGGAGAGTTTGGTATTTGTTCTTCCTGTCACTGATTGTATTAACACTGTTGTTTGTAGTAACATTGTACGCGGCGATTATCATTCGACTTTGGTGTGGGAAAACGACCGAGATCGTGCAAACCCCTATAAAACGCCGTGTAAGTGCGCGAGTTAACAGGCGTGTTCTCAAAATGGTGGCCATGATAGTGATTGCCTTTTATTGCTGTATTCTTCCTTATTGGGTCGGTTGGGTGTTTTGCTCATACCATCGCAGTGAGCTCATTTGTAATGATACCTATGTATTTGTTGCAATTTTCCTCATGTATGCAAATAGTGCGGTTAATCCGGTTATTTATGCCTTTTTCAATGATACCTTCAGAGTTGGTTTTCGATTTATCATGAAGACGTCCAGAAGATGTTGTTTTAGCTCTAAGAACTTGAGTACGGATACGGCACAAGATGAATTTATAGGAAGAAACCGGAGCAGTAGAAAATCAAGCGAAATCCCATGCCAAGAACTAAAAGAACTTAATTCTAAAAAACATTCATGCATATATGTTTAGGGCCGACTTAGGAAGTCTTCCTATTCCGGTACAATAGATGAAAGTTGTTAAAGCATTGATTCATTTACCTGGAGAAAGATTTTTTCAGGTTCATGATTATTGAGAAACATGTGTTTTGAAAGAGCACTCAGAGAAAGCCAAAATGTTTTCTTTTTTCGCAAATTCTGGGTCTGAACGATTAAATGAAGCCGAATATCAGTATTCATATGTTAAAATGGCAGAAAAACGTTATCATGCAACATTGCGTGATGTCGGTCTACCGACGAAAACGACTTGATATTATCTTGAGGAAGAGCATCGTGCTGAAATTACGGTCGGAAGACGATTTATCCGACGTTCGAATTAATGATGATTTAATTGTTCTAAGTCATCCTGTGTAGGCAGATGGGGGGTTTTTCATGTCTTAGCTCTCATTGTTTGCAAAGCTCTCTTCTCAAGAAGCCAAAGTGTTTGCCAAATAATAAGCAAGGTTGGAAAGAAGAGAAAACCAGGATGAATTTGGAAATGTGTCCTCTTAGACTATGAGGTCTGATTATTTAAACAACGTTTAGCCGTTTTTTAACGAAACTGAACATTTGTTATTGTGAGCAGTGTCAAGTGGGCTGGAAGCAAACAGTGGAAGGACATTTATTTGATTCAATCAACCCACTTATAGAGGAAGCCTTAGGCCGACTGTTTGCGTAAAACCTTGGTTTGAGTAAGCCGGCCCTCAAAGTGCAATCTGATCCAAGCTTAGATAGATCTAGAATGAATGTTCTAGGAGGTGTGGGCAAACTTGGCATTAATTAGCCAACTTTCGTGGCACGACATACACATTGCGCAAAAGTCAGCTCATTTTTTTTTTATTTTTGTCATTACACAATCGAAATTTGAAACAATTAAATGATATCAGACCGCTGACGTTGACACTCTCGGCGGGAAAACCTTCAGTCTATAATCAGCATCACACCCAGAATCGAAGTGTGCGCAAGCGCACGATCCAACAACTCTTACCCACAAGACTCTCTCCTCTTAGCCTGTTTTGATCAGAATGGGACATACACCCAAGAATTAGCATTTGCTTTAATATGTTCACTATAGAAGCCTCAGATAGAGAGTGAGGAAAACCAACAAGGAAGGTTATTGTCTCGATATCAATTCGTCCTTTAAAGCCAATAGCAAGGGCTGCGAACAGCAATATGATATCAAGCCGGATAGAATTTTGAATCATTCCTCATTGACAACACAAACATATCATACTCATTCAACCCTGACATTGTTCAGATAGACTGGAGCAGCAGGTTTTCATTCAAATCTTGGGAAATGATTATATCTCTTTATCACAATGTGGATTATTGTTTTCAGCGATTTGAATCAGTTAAGCAGAGTGATTGAAACAACTGATTTTAAAAAAATTATATTGTTAAATTTTACCCCTGTAAGCTCTTGCAGTTGAAAGATGAAATCGAGGTGTAGATTACAATGAAGACAACTACTCGACAGGTTATTTTTAAATTTGTCCACATCTCTTAAGGGAATCACACATATTCTCTCGATATGCGTTGCGGCGCAAATGGCAGAAGTCTTGATTTCATATTAAGGTACCAATTTAATTAATTTAATCGCTATCTGCTTTCAGAAAAGTGACGATGCGCTCAAATGTGATTAATACACAATTGAATATTCGCTGTTTTCCTTTTTCGTCTTTGTCAGGTGTCACTTTTCAAACCTAACAGTCAAAATCCACGCGGTAATTGAAATCCTTGAAAAACGTGGTTGGAGTTCAGATCCCTTTTAACCTGATCGAAAGCAAATACAGGAACTTTTATAAAGATGCTGCTTCCCACAGAGATTTTCTTTATTCATAACATCTACTTAATTTCTGGGCCATTTTCCAAGCGTATTAATAATAAATGTTTGTCTGAGGCGGAATGTTAAATGTGTAATTTGCCTATCGAATAAGAGGTTTTCCTCTGTGCAAATATTTTACTAAATTCAAATTCTGCAGGTAAGTGGTGTGATGTTGCTGGAAGACCCATCGTGGTACCAAATCTGTGATGAAATATGACTAAGAGCAGAGAATCAGCAGTTAAATACGTTTAACATTTTACTTTTTCATTTTACTTAGTGAAAGGAGAGGAAAAGTGTTTAACAACAGAAGCACGCGAACAAGAAACGTCAATCTATGAGAGTGAAGGACTTCATTGTGGCGGGAAATGAATGATCTTGGCACTGGAAACACAACCTCGCCCCCGAATATCTACGCAGGCGATTCGCCTATAGAGAAATCTTTTAAATGTTTAGCTTATGGTGTGGTTGTTGCACTGTCTGTCATCGGTAACACATTGATTATCTTTGCCTTTAAGCTTAATATTGATGGAAAACTCCGCACGGTCAATAATATGTTCATTGTGAGCATGGCTGCTGGAGACCTTCTTCTCACAGTGGCTAGCACGCCAGAGAGAATCACAAGAATTCTGGCTAACGAGCGATGGATTATCCATGGAAACTGGGGAATATTCTTGTGCAAGACGACCAACTACATGGAGAAGCTTTGTATGAACGTTTCAGTGATTCATCTGGCAATGATTGCTATAGACCGGTTTGTGGCTGTTTGTTATCCCCGGAGGAGAATCATTACAGCGAAAAGGGCTCGCTTTATTATTGCAACCGCTTGGTTTGGTTCAGCTGTTTATTGTGTCCCTCTGTTTTATTACGCAAATTTGTTAGTGAGCAATGAGAATGTTTTCTGTAAAACGCGACATTTTTTTATCAACTGGCGAATTTGGTATTTGTTTTTCCTGTCATTGCTCGTGCTAACACTGCTTGTTGTGGTCGGACTTTACGCTGCGATTATTATTCGTCTCTGGCGTGGAGAAAGAGGACCCAGAATCCGGATGTCATTCCGAAGCCGTACAAACGCGCGAATCAACGTCCGTGTTCTCAAAATGGTAGCCATGATAGTTTTTGTATTTTACTGTTGTATTTTACCCTACTGGATCGGTTGGGTATTCTGTTCGTATTATCGCAACGACCTCATTTGTAGCGACACCTACGTGTTCGTGGTAGTTTTTCTGATGTATTCCAACAGCGCATTCAACCCAGCGATTTACTCGTTTTTCAACCATAATTTTCGTCGGAGCTTTCGTTTTATTCTAAACAAGCTGTGTAAATGTTGTTTTACCAACAGAGCGCTTTACATTCAGCCAGAACCGAAACCAATTTACGTCATTGGCAGAGGTTTGCAAGATTGTGAGGGAACCGACAAGAAGACAGTGCAATTCATTTCCATCCAGAATCTACAGTGACATTGACATGAAAATCAGCAATTTGCGCAGTAGAATTTGTTAAACTTATCCTGAAATTTCTTACATTAAAACCAACAGGGAACGAAATTATGCTACTTAGAATGAAATGAAAACGAACCTCCTTGATGATCCTAAAGCAGTTTTGTCACCCGAAGTTTTTCGTCGTAATTGCATCGTATGTATCATGGAGGTAAAAAATCATTGAGCGGTCCGGGTTGATTGGTGATACTCCTGAGTGTATGTAATAAATACTAATCAAAATTTGAACAGTTTTGTTAGAAGTCATGAGAAAAACTAACGAATTGACAAATACATCATGCTCTCTGATATTTAGTAGGATTTGAGAGCAAATACGAAACAGCCTGATTAAACTAATTCGAACGACGTGGTTGCAATTTAGTGAAAGACGAAATTTGCAAAAAAAAGTTGAAAATCCTTTATGAATGCTGTTTATCATTGGGATTGCAGACTTAACAGAGATTTATACTAACACAAAATCCTTAACATAATTTGAGTTCAAAAAAATATTTAAATCGCCATTATTGAGTTTCAATCTACAACTTCCTGTTTACTAATCCTTACTGTTATTAGAGTTCAGTCGTTTCTGTTTCTAGAGTTGAATAGTTCCACCATTGCGTTGTGTATCAAAATAAAGCACACTCAATTAAGGCTTGAACGAGTAGAATAGTTTTTCGCCGTTTAATTCTATCTGAGCCTTAGGCCGCAAAACAAGCGCAATTTTTTTTCCGTTTTTCAGGCGAACGCAGGCAAACTCGAGGAGAGCACACGCGCGAGTCACGCGTTGGGAGTGAGGCACACAAAAAAATGACAAACAAGATACCGGTAGTTTTTCGTTTTTGCGCCCCTCCCCTCGCGGGCGACTCACACTTCGCGTCAGCTACGCGCTTGCCTTGGACTTAAAAAATGCAAAAGACTATCACGTCTGTCCTGCGGGCTATTTAGACCTTGTTATACTCTTCAGGAGAAAATGAAAATAAGTGGTCGTCTTATTTCCTTTTGGTTTTCAAGTCTGACAAACATTGGTGTGTCAATCTTATTACTATTCCTAATTCTGGTTTTCAAAGCGTGAAGCACTATTTCTCATGAACAGGATGCGATTCTGTCGCAAATAGCAACCCAGCAATATTCGCTGGTACTCTTCGGCTGAGAGAAACGCTGTACGATTGAAGTGCCTCGCCTAAGAAAACAGCACAGTGACCCTTCCAGGGCCCATACTCGGTCCTCTCTTTCTGAAGTTCTCGGCACTAAACTACCGGGTTTCCTACTTAAGGCTCACGAGTTCCAAAAAAAAAAAAAAAAGAATGTAAGAGGACGCAACATTAGCACAACAGTGAGAAATGACAGCATAACAAAGGTAATGGCGATAAAAGAAAGTCTCAGCTCAATCAAATTACCGAGCATAAACTTCCCATTTGTCTCCTCGCGATAGAGAATTCACGCCACCATGGTCATCGCACCAAAATTGCCCTGGTGGACGAAAGGAAAATGCTCTCATGTCCGATTTCCACTCAGCGACAAGCCGGTAAATCCTGTTAGCTCCATGGTGTGAATAAGAGCCCCACTGGTTCATCTCCAGGACTGTGTCATTGTAGGCCCCCCACTTGTCACAGTTGTGGGACAGTGTGGAATTATCATCCGGGAGTGTATCAAAAGAGTCACATGCTGTAGCTGGTTTGCTGGGATTTTCCAAGAAATACTCAAGTACCTTATAGCCGGCGGAATCGTTTTTTGTCATGACGTGGAAAACGCTGTCCTGTTGTTTCTTGAAGCAATACCACCGAAGCTGATGAAAATTGATTGCTTGTCGAAGTTCTCGGATTCCCATGATCGAAACGAACACATAGTCGTCCGTATAGTTTGAAATAGCAATATAGTTGCTAACCATCTGCATGGTCTTAGTTGAAAGGTCAGAAAGATTTGCCGGAATTTTCGTGCGTTTTAGTAAAGTCCATCCACCTATAACATCGTGAGGGATAAACCACAATACAGTTAAGATCCAAAAAATTACCCTGAAAAATAAACATTGGCAACGAAGAAAAACCTCAAGACAGTAGCCAAACACCAGGTTTAAAAGGACACCTCAAAATGGGGATTGTAAAACAAGGAAAATGCAATAGTTGTCCACATTTGAATAAAAGGTTTTGTGAAAATAGAATTGAGTCAGACAAGATATGGAAATGTATGCATGAAGTAGTTTACAGCTTTTCAAATAGGAATGGGCTCAGTTACTTCCGCTGTACAATAACTGTTCGAGCTTTGTTTGTTATGAAAATTCAATGAAGCTAGCTCACTAGACACATAATTTCTTTGTCTTTAGCTAAAAAGGCTTCGACCTAATTCACGTAATCATATTCGAAATCGGGCCCTCTAATGGATAAGAACATACCCCATAGGCTTCTTTTCAAAGTTGTGTTACTGATTAGCCAAGTGAGTGAGTTTGCTCGATACGTGACTTATTCAAGCTTGCTATTTGGGAGCAACAAGTCTTCCAATTTTCATACCTTACAATTGCATATTTCACTCGTACTTCAGACGTGAGGGTTTTAACCAGTTTCTCGTTCAAGAATTTTTTTCGTGAAATTTTTGTCCAATATTATTAACCTGTGACAGTTATAATTTAGTAGTACGTGTTCCAAGCTTTTGTCCAAGAGTCCAACACGATAACTTCTTTAAATTTGTTAACTTCAGTTTTCACGCCTCAAAATTTTGATTCAGAAATAGTAGATCAAATCGTAATAACTGTCCTACCTCCATCAGTTGTCATGTCACAGTACACTACAAAAGAGTCGCTGGACGTTCTGGGTGCAATCCAGTACTCTCCATCCGTCAGTAATTCACCCCGCTTGTCTGCAATGTCCTTGCAAGATAGTCCTGGATTGCTCCTATGGCTTCCTAAGGCTTCCACTTCGTCGCCTGAGAAGAAATCATGGTTACTTATCTCAGACACTTAGTTAAGAAAAAGCACCTCATGCAGATCTTTTTATTGGTCTTCTGAAAACACTGTACGGGAAATGTTTCTGATATTCGTCGTGAATTAGTGTATCACAGATTCACGTAATATAACGTAAATGTGCGTTTCATAGGAGGAACAGGTTGTTTTTTTTCCCTTGCTTTAAATTTAAAGCGAGAATTATTTAGGACTTTTTTTTGTGAGCTTATTTCGTCAGACACCAGATGACTCGTTCATGCACGCCCACCAAGAATTTGGCAACTTCTCATCCTGTGGAATCTCAGTGAAAACCGAGATACGGCCAACATTTTGTTCAACTATATGCCCATTAATCAGTGCATGCAAGGTAATATATTTTTCTTACTTATACTTACACTTGTTAATTAATTTCTAGCAAACGTGAAATGATTTTTCTCCAAAAGTGAATTTTTTTAAACCAAATTAAGTCTTTAAACGATCATTTTCTAATTACTCCAAGTTCTAAGAGCGCACTTTGCTTGTCCTCGATCAGCAAAGAAGTGCTTGACTTAGATTTTTTAGGGCCAGCTATAATTTCTGGTTAACTTTTTACTGTTTTCGCTGTCTGATTTCATGATAACAAAACATGATTGGAAGCCATACCTATTCATCCTAGGGCAAGACCAGTTCTTAAAAAGTATAATTGCTACGTGCTACCGAAGTATGAGCGTTGAAAACTTACCAGCGTACGAAACACTATTTAATTGCTGACAAGTGTTCCCTTGGTAGCCAATGGGACATAGACATTTATAGATTCCGCGCTTGTAATCAGGAACACACTTCCCTCCGCTTTTGCATGGGAAACGTGAACAAGGCGTCTAGAAAAGGCAAAGTTTTAAACCGTTTACTATAAATCGGCTGAGTTATTGTTCATTGATTAATTTGCGTTTTTACGCTCTACACTTTTAGATTGGTGTGCAATTTCTCTTTACTGTTCTTTACTCGTTTCCTTTGGTACCGACAAGAAGAATTTTTTCAACAATCGAGAGCATCTTCCGTTAGTGATAATTTCCCTATTTTCGCGATCGTAATGTTTGATTTAAGGGTAATAGATGGGTAATACTGTAGAGAGGAATTAGATGCTATACAGACCCATCCAAGGGTTTGAAAATCTCCAGCTATCGTTAACCAGCTCTAAGTAATAATCGTCCTTTCAAAAGGGAAGTGAGAAAAGATTCTTATTGTTGGCTTTGCTTTCTGCATGTTCAAATTTTAATACCAGTGTGTCGCGTTTCATATCTATTTTATCTAGAGAGAAGATTAAATCTTCGTCCAAGTTTATTTGAGGCTGTTGATAAAAAGTAAACTAAATAAATGTAAAATGGGGATTTCGGTGGAAAATGTTCTCGATAATTTTCTTGTCGAATACGTGCGCATCTGAGACAGAGCAATCTGCACGACTGATGATAACGATTACTTACCAATTTACTCCAGTGGTGAAATTCCTTGCTGCGCTTGAAATGATGTGGGACGTTATACAGACCTTCAGACAAGAGCTCGCACAGAATTCCTGCCCGGTGCAATGATGCTTCCTCTATATTGAATGATAAGCACAAGGCAAGTCGTGCACATCTCAGGGCACACTCGCTAATCAAACCCACAAAGAAGGTCGAAAGTTTCCCCACATTAAGGAGATGGTTTTTGTGTTCGATAAAGTACGAAAATACTTCATTTGCGCCAATTGATAACCGAGTGTTGTCATTTTCTTTCATTGCAAGTATTGTGTATGTTTGTGTACCACAAATTATAGCGCACGCAACGACAACGATGAATCGAAGAGGGGACATTATTAGATGCGGCAAGTCATTACTGTAAAGAACGAACAGTGTTAAACTTGTGAAAAGGCTTCACAAAATTCTGTTTTCGCACCTGGTCTTGGTCTAAGAGGCAATAAATGTATTTTTAAGATTCTGTTAATAACAATGTAAGCCAACAAAACTTGCTTTTTGTACTTCAATAATAGATCTTTCAAAAACAACTTATAAAGAAAGAGACCTAAATTGCCCTCGTTTTTCGTTATTGAAAACAGTCACAGCTATAAAAATAAATTCCTATTCAACAACAAAGACCCTTGATGAATGAATGAAAACTGCAGCTGTCCATCTTTTGTGGAAATCAATGTATTGCTCTTTTATTTGAAATTTCTCAATTGTTGGTTGATGCGAGGAAAGTTTTAAGAATTATATTAGGAACTGTTGTCATTCCTAATCCATAAGTGGTAGCTCAGATGAGTCGAAATCTTTTAAGAAAGACCAATCATGATCTAAAATTTCGATCACCGAATACCGTTAAAAATATCTTACCTGTCCTTCTCGCAACCTTTGTTTCAAGATACGTAACTTTGATTACAATTTCTTTCCATAGTGCACCATAATTGATTGTCTCCCTGCTGGAGTCTCAAAACTCGGATACAAAATCCGTAATAAAATTTTCACAAGTCATTCGCTCTCAGGTAATGCATATTTTTTACAGGAATAATCGGTACTCAGACAAACGGAACCCCCCCCCCCACCTTTAAAAAAGGTGGGGGGGGGAGGGCTGCGAAATAATTTAAGTCAAGTAATGCATGCTGCTGGTTTCCTAGTAGTCTATAAATTTTTCATTTAGGCAACCAATAAAACTACTACTTATTTGATGCTATCTTACGCTGACAAGGAAATTTTAAAAATGTATACGGCAAGTCCATGTATCTGGAAAAATAGACAGGATATTCATATAGATTTATTTACAATTTTTAATTTTTATTTATTGCAGAAATAAAAATTAGGAAAATTAAGGTTTGTAACTTGAGACAAGAGTTTATAATCTCTTGCTTGAGATTTAGTCTACAAAAAATAAGAGAAAATTCAGTAAGAAATTTTTCTGCCTATTTCTAATATTCGGCTCCTTGTTGTACACAAAAAGAAATAAAAATTGAAAATAGAACGAGTAAGATGTTCTGTTGGAACAACTTATTTTCAGGTTCAATACAGTGTGCATTATAAGTATATTTTATGAAATTAATTTCCAAGAAGGAAAGTGTATTAATACTTTGTGAATTTCAGACGTGGTTGATTTAAACGGTAAAATGCCAAAAAAATAGGCCCTTTACGAGATCCCTTGTTTTATAACAAAGTTTACAGTTGCGCTAAGCCTCGTTTTAAAAATGAGGGAAAAAGCACGGCGAATGGTGGCTTTGTGTTCGTTGAATCGTTTTGGAAGAAAAGATTCTTGCTCAAAATTCTAGCTCGCTCTCAGTTGGTGAACCAATCCCCTCGTCGGTTGTTTGCCCACCAACTGACATCTCAGCCAATTCGCTAAGAGTATTTTTACTTTCCTTGTGATGTAATGGACTCCATTCAAGGGGTGAGGATCTGAACATTGATGACGCAGGCGTTACCGGGGGAACCGTGCACGAATTGCACAAGTGATACCATCTCCTTGGATTCTCTGGGGAATACCTCAGTGTCTCTGGAGAGTTCGGTAAGGGTGGAAAACTTTTGTGGTGGTTCAGAACACGAAGAGGATAAAATTTGTAGGTGGGAGAGATGCTGGTGTAACGCTTTTGTAATTCTTCTTTCTCAGGAACTATCTTTCCTTTGCTTATCTCGCTCTCAAGTCCAAAGTACTTCGCACACTTTGCGATGCAATATGTAGGGCCTTCGTTATCCCACGTTTTGTATTTCAATAAATTTAATTCGCCCCTTGTTGGTAAATCACGCGACTCGCATGGTCGAAAGCCACCGTTGACAAAAATATTTTGCCAATCAATGTCACCATTAGTTTTAATTGCAAAAGAGTCTCTTTGGACTTTAGATTGTCTGCGGATGTAAACTTCTTCATCCGGTGTTTTCTCAACTTTGGAGGGTGACGTATCTGTTAGGGGTGGTAGACGATTAACTTCGTCGCCTCTTTTATGGTTGCTCAGTAGCTTTGGAATCTGAGATACACTACTTAGAGTCTGACTTGCCGAATCACTTGTGGTAGGTCCTTCTATGGCACTACCCGCGTCCAAAATTCGACCAAACAATTCCTCCTCTATTTTGCTATCTTCTCTCTGTCGTGTTTCATTAATATTGCCCGTCTCTTTGCCGCACTGTTTAACAAACTTCTCGAAGTATTCCACAGGATCATAACTGGATTGTCTCGTTCGTTTCACTCTCAAACGGACAGGTTTGCAATTCACATGTAATTCGGGGAGTATTGTACTCCCTTTGTCAAATATGTTGGATTTGTTCTGAGAGAGCAGTTTTGCCCAGCTGCTGTGACGCAGTTTCGGTTTACCAATTGATATTCCAGGAAGATGCTTTGTTGAGCTGTCATCGTGCGATTTCATCTCCCAATAATGTCAATTCTTCTCTGTTGTCTTTAAATTCTGCTTTTATCGTAGGGTTCAAACATATCTGTAGAAATAGGGAAAGGGTATGTTTGCGATGAAATAGCTGTTTAAGACATGCCCATATCTTTCCTGATATTAAAGGAAATTCTTTCCTAGTAAGGAAATGTTCATTGCAGGTGAGCTAAAATAAAAGAAATTGCAAAACGATGCCCGGCCTGAAAATTTAATTCAGCCTTCGACGAGAATCGAACCCCCCCTCCCCCACCCCAGGAACTAGTTGAGCTCTACTATCAAATGAGCTAGAAGCCACACGATGTTTGGAGCGAGGCACGGGTTCGAATCCCGTCGAAACCTGAATCTTTCCAGGCCTCTTTGCTGCAATTGCTTAAATTGTATCTCACTTGCGTCAATCATTTCCGGCTTCGTGTATTTCGTTCGCAGGTGGACATATGATTAATTTTTTTTTTGGCAATTTTGGAATACTTTCTCTTGACAGATGCGGTTATTGATACAGATTTTTGGTGAGTTATGATCAGTTCTAGTTAACTAAAATATTTAAATCCCACAAGACTTGTACACACTAATTTCCTCCGCCGAAAATTTAAAATGTGAGCTCCGTGACTTTGTCGACCGATACAACTTTTGCCTAACTACCTATGCTGGACGCAAACTAAAGAACTGAAGAACTATCTTTCATAATGTATGCTTAGCAAGAAAAAAGGACAGGTTTTTTGTCGAGTACAGACCATTCCAAGTGTGTATAACTTGTGCTGACACTGCCCTCCTTCCCCCCGCACCAACACACACGCTACGTACACACAACCGCCTTAAACAAAGCTAAGTTATTGCTTTCTCAGTTAATTGTAAAAATATATTTTATGTATCTCACAACATAAAAAACTCATTTGGGCTTTCTTGACTTCTCGCTTACTTAGACTTATCACGATAACAAGAATTCGTTATCAACCACATGAACTACTCTTCTGACCATAGAGGTTTCATGGTTTTTTAAATCAGTAAACAAATTTGAAAAGCTTGTCCCACCGGCTTGTGCGTTATCATTCGTTTGTTTTCATTCATTAAGTTGTCTGAGAATCAAACAATCTGAAGGTGTGTTCGTCAAAGCCTACTGTCGTCGGCAAAAATACCGACTTTCGACAAAATTAGAGCCTCAATATGTAGATATGTAGCAAAGAGATCTCAGTTGACTGAGCAGGGAAGCTCACACAGGTTGTTATTATTCGACTTTATTCATGCAAACAGATGATTGACTAAATTTTTTTGTCTAATTAAAGTCAACTAATTTTCAGAGGCCTCTAATTTATCTTGGCTTTTTTACGTAGGCTCCACTGTACTTCAGTGGTTTGAAATAAAATATCAAAGTGGAACAAAACCATACAAGAATCTTTGGATTATCTTTCTGTTCTACGCCAGTCTTCCTAATCTTTTAATTGCTTTATAAAACTATGAAATTGTGTGTTCAATTTTGAATTACATTAGTCTTACCTTTTTTCAAGGAGTGTCTTGATACAGACATCCTAGTTTCTCTTCTTAGTTTGATATAGTGAAGAAAATTTGACTGTTGTCGTCACAGCGCCGTGTTCCATTTCTCCTTAAGTGTAAGTGACTCGTTGCTAAGGGGTAGCTTTAAGATTTTACACGCTTGATATCACAAAAGTAATGAGTCTAACAAATAACGCCTAATTTACAATTAATGCGATATTGCCTTGTTGCATACAATAGACCGTACAGTAAAAAAAGGCAATCGAAACACACAAATCCCAGGGGTTATGGCGTTTTTACTTCTCAAAAGAAATTAATCAGCGGGAAACCATAATGTTGTTGACTTAAAAAACTGTCTCTATTCAAACGTCTTTGGGGTATAATTTCCTCCTAATCTTACTAATACAAACATAGGTAATCTGTCCAACCGTGATCAGTGAAGCACAGTTAACTCCACACTGTGAAATGATAAAGGCATTATTGGGGGTATTGGTTTATAGTTTCTATTTTCGCGTGAGCCTGATAATGCTCACGGTCATTAGTGAAACTTGTCATTGAAAGCTTTCACCTTCTATTACTTTCGGTATATGATGTATACTAGAATGATCTAAAAAATATACTGGAATGATAAAAGTACATCGCATGTTACCACACGCATTTATGTCAGGTTTAGCTTTTCAGTGTAGATTTTCTGCGAATTTCTCGAATCACGATCATATCTGAGCCAGATTTAAATACCAAGACGGTTTAAATAAAAAAATGTTAATCGGGTTTTGAATCCTTCAACGAAAGTGGAGAGCTTATTTCGGATCTAACGGCAAGCGCATTGTAATGGAGCTAAATTGCTCTTAAAATGATTGAGGTCAAATAAAATTTTACCACAATTATCATTACAATCGCGATCGGATATAATTAATTTTTTTGTTTTGTTTTTTTTTTGCATACTTTTAACAGTTATTCTTAACGTAGCCTATAAATGTCTCCATGTAAAAAGGCTCTACTCAGTCATTCATATGTACACTGTGCAGACCTAGTTTTAAGAAGGCTTGGCTACCAAAACGTTCCCAGCACGCCTCGCAGCCTGACGTACTTTAGCCGGCCATATTGGAAGGAGTCAACACTGTACGACCATGATTTCTCGGTTACGTTTAGCCACCAGAATTGGTAAGTCTTTATTCTTGAAGTCGGCGATGCTTCTGAAAAGGTTTTAAGACTCATCCATTACGTCTGATTAAAATGGCTTTGTCATTTTTGTACGCAAAACGATGAACCTCCCGCACCAAAGCTGCTAAGCAAGTATTGGGTCGTGAAATTGACACACAATCTTTTGAAATTGTCGTTTGTACCTCTGTAACTGATGTATTAAATGTAGATCTAGACGAAGTTACTACTGCTTTTGACAAGCCTTTATAATCGTGTAGATCAAAGTCATACGGTAGGGGATAATATATTATTGTTAATGATTACTCTCGACTTCGATCTGAATTTATTATGCATTCTCTTTGCCTTTGCAGTAAGTATATTGCTTTGGTGGCCATAAACTTTTACATTAGTACATTTACCTGTATGTAAACTTTGTATCCGGCGCAGGATGCTGTATGAGGCCTATTTTTTTGCACAATAGTTGATGTGTAGGTAAATTTGACCGAATGATTATGCATCGTTCCATTCGTTGCAGTGTTGATGATATTTACATGTATCATGTTGCCTCTTAGGTGGTGCAGCCAGGCTCTTGGCACATGCAAAACCAAGGTAAGCTTTTATTTGATCTTGGAAATTAACAAAGGGTTTAAACATGCAACTTGCTCCTACCGCTTTTCAATATTCAGTTGTAATTACTGAATGTAGTTTGAGTTAATTTTTTTAATTCATTCTTAGTATGCCTGCCACCACAAGAATGATGTGTCAGGTTCCTGCCCAACAAACAGAAGGTAATGCATATGGTACTTAGCAGAGTGCTTTCATATTCAGTTTTAGATCAGTTTCAACATCTTGAGACATTTGAGTAGGGCTTATGAATTTCCTAGTCAATGTTCAGTGGGTTATGTAGAACCACCATTATATATGAAAGTTTATTATAAACTAGTTCTGGTATGGTAATGCAGAACAGTGCTGTACTTAGAGCTGTGTCTCAGAGATAGCCATGGAATACCTCCTTGAGTTAGCTTTGTTGAGTTGGTCATTTATGTTTATGTTTAGTTAAAATTTGGTGACAACAATTTAAGTTTGATTTTGTTTATCATTCAGATAAACCTCAGGAGTTTGGTCAGTTCTATAGAGATATCAGCAGTTTGTTGAAGGAGAAGACTGGGGAGACTGGTAAGACGAAAGAATGTAGCGCATATAGTTATTATTTTCAGTTATAGAACATGCATTTATTGTTCTCAGTGGCAGTTTGATAAAGACAATTAAAAGTTGAACTTAAGAATTGTTGTGTTAAGGGCATCAGTTAGCTTCACTTAAATTTCCCTTAGCTTAAAATGCTAGATTTGACCTTACCAACAGTCTAATGACAACTGCAGTTAGACCTTATACTGTAAGAAAGATACATGTAATTAATACTATCTTCATATGTATTTTATTTTTAGGCCACAAACTTTTGGCTGGTGGATTCCTCACCTACATCCTTTCAAAAGAAATACTCATTCTTCATGATGAGGTGCTTATGCAACAGTGGGCATACCCCTCTTGTTTTTATTTTAGTTGAATTTGTTCCTTGGTTACAATCCTTTTCTCTTATGTAGTGGTTGTCACTGTAATTTGAAACAGATGGAAATCTCTTGTTTGAACTTATACATACCATGGAAAAAATGAAACCATAACAAATTCATATGTTATATTGTGTTTTAAGTTCATTCTTGGTCTAAAGTTATCTATCATAATGTGAAAGAAAGGAAAAGAGAATTATACCCTGTTCACACCATCAAAACATGTCTAATTAAACAAAGTTTAATGAAACCATGTATAATTAAACATGGTATTTGATCAACCTGTTCACACTGAACAACAAGAGCTGACAACAATGCAGCCTCGTGTTCATGCTCAGCCTCGTGTTTGTGTGATTGTAATTGACATAAAATGTTACAACATCATACAGTCACAACATTTAAAATGTAAACAAAATGGTGGATGGGCAAAATACTGAGCTTTTGTTTTGGATAACACAGAGAGAAGAAGCCGGCTTCTTCTTTGGTGTGGCATTTCCTGTCTTAGCACATTCTTCTTAGTAGCTTCTATAGGCACTTATCAGAGTGTAAATTCGTGTCTTGTAGCTGCCATTGTCTCTGTCTTTGTAGCCTGCAGCTCAAAGATATGCCACAATTTCTCGCCATGTAGGCTTTTTTCTTGTGCATGATTTTAGCTGATTTTACTCTTTTGTGCGTTTTGGTTTCTGCCACCATTTTGAATGTGTTTTATTAAACACAATTGTTAAACTACCTTTCAAGGTACTTTTGTTAAACACAGTTTTAGACGTGTTTTGTTAAATGTGCCTGCAGTGTGAACAGCCAGTCTTATTAAATCTGTTCATCAAAACAAATTTTCAACATGGCTTTGGTATGAATGGGGTATTAGACAAATTACACTCCTTTAGCAAAAAGAAACAATTTTAAGTGCAACATATTAGTGTTGGAGTGTGTTGTATATAGGAGTACTTTTAACCCTTTGGATCAAACATAGTCACAATAAGAAAAGAAATGACCACTAACTAAAGCAGCTCTTGATTGTAAAACAAGTTATCCTTGTCAACACCTTAGGAAATGCATAGAGAAGAGTATGGAGAATATGCACACTGATGTTAGGGTGTGAAGGTTTTCATGAAGAGATGCAATAGATTCTTACACTGATAAGACAAACATGGTTTGGGGCACTTTATGCTTGTGCAGACTAACTTTAAAATTGCAATTCCTTGAAATGAATTGTTCACTCACTTTTTCAGAGAGTTTTACTATTAACTATTGAGACCTGAAGAGTGTGAGAGTAAACACCTCCAAATAACTTGTTACAGAACAGTGACAGCAATGCTAATGTTATTTTTCAGACTCTTCTTGCTGTTGTGATGTTCGGCACTATGTATTGGGTCTATTTAAAAGTTTCTCAGCCAGTTGCAGATTTCCTAGACAGTTATTCTCAAGTGAGTCATGTTTACAGAGATACTGAGTCTTTTGTACACATGTTATGCTACTAATTCTGCTGTGTTCAATGGTTGTGGAAGGTTGAGTACATGCCACAAATTCATTTCTCAATTGATCAATTGATCATTTGTTTTAGGGTGCATTAATTTGAAACTAAAATCCAAGCAGTCGGACAAATCAAATGAATGAAAGCCAAATTTCAAAATGTTTTAACTTGCAATAATTTTAAAAGGACTCAAGGTTGAGAAGCTGAAACTGTGACAATACATGTCAAATTTTCATAGGGAATCTTAGCTAGATTCAATGGATATAAAGAGAAGCGCATTGAGATGTTGACTAGCACCATTGAGGAGGCCAGCCAGGTTGAGTACCTGCATTCTGCCAGGACAGACATTGTGGAAATTATGAGGGTAAGATGGCTAAATGGTTAAAGATGGTTAAAATTTTTGTTCACATTATGTGCATGTGAACTTTACAGAACTTTACTGTTGTCTATTTGTATTGCTTGAATGTTTTTTCTTTGAAATTGATATTATAATAACCTAAGATTTCATCTTTTGATGAGTTGGTTGGAAATTTTTCTTTCTTTTTGTGTTAATGCGTTTAAAATAACCAACTTGCAATGCTCCAAGCTGAACTTTTTTAAAGAGACCATCAGGTGGCAGGTGTCCTAGGCAAGCAACATTTGGGATAAACTTCTTTATGCCATTTTGTTCATGGTACGGCCTTCATACATACTTTCTATTTCTTCATTTTTTTAAATAGGAAAATAATGCCATGTCTCTTGAGCTGAAGTATCGAAACAGGCTGCATGAAGTCGCTAGAGAAGTCACCAAACGCTTGGTATTTATCATTCTTACGTTTTTATGTATTGTTGACTGTTGTTGTAGGAATGTTGTGACCATTGCAGAAGTATTTTTGTGTCCAAAAACAAACAAACAAAAAAAGAATTTAAAACAATTTGATTTCAAAGAAAAAAAGTTGCTCCCTTGGGTAAATTTAGTTGTAGAGGATAGCCTACTTACAGCTGTGACTTTTTTTTTTGTGGTCATGAACAAATAATTTTGCATACAGAACCATAACACACAACTCTTTAAACCCTAAGAGTGACCAGCATCTAATTTCTCCATTAATTATCATCCCTGAATCAAAAATTAAGGTCACAAGAATCAGGGAAATGATCACCAGCTAAAGGAACTCTTGATTGTCCAACAAATTCTCCTTGTTGGTGCCTCAGGAAATTTATATAGAACTGGAGGAGAACGTACATACTGATGTCAGGGTGTAAAGAGTTAAATTGAGTAGTGTGGAGCACTGTTATGGGTCCCTGTCACTTAATTTGGGAGCTTGAAATGAAGATTGTGATAGTTACCTTTAGTGTGAGCTCTATTCTACTGAGACTAAGGGCAGATATACGTGAAAATATTATTTCCCAAAAAGAATAAGTAATCTTCTACTTCTTTGAAGTACACAGTGGCTTTAGTTGGCTTTCAGGAAATATCCATGCCCAACCTAAGGAAGGTCTTGAAAATTGTAGTGCAGATGGAAACCTTAAGGGCTAAATCTACAAGATGATCATAAGAGGGTAGTGGTAGTTCTCTAAACCAAAAAGTTTTGGATCAGTGGATTTCATTTCAAGCCTTAGTGGAAAGCAGGGGTCATTAGTAACTTTAAGTCAGGTAATTCCTTTGAAGTCAAAGCCAGTTGCTCTTGAGAAACTTAGGGAACTTCTCTTTTTTCTGTTTTTTTTTCATTTCTAATGCACAGGATTATCAGGCAGAGATTGAAGCTTTCCATCGAAGGAATGCTCAAGCACACATTGTTGATTGGGTGGAAAAAGAAGTTGTCAAGAGTATTTCACCTCAGTTGGTATGTATGGAAAACTGAAATTATTACTTTTGATTTAACAATAACTTTCCCAACATCTTTTTCCAGTTGGGGAAACTGGTGAACTGCAATTCATTTGGGCAATTGTGTAAACCATCCTGGTAAAAAAGGTTTCAGTGTTGGCTTATTACTGTAAGGAGTAGAGTATGATTTACTTTTGCTTCTTTTAATTGAAATTTCATTGGATTTTTATAATCCTTGTCAACCCTGGGTTTCACAAGTCTTTTTTTTGCACATGGTAGTAAGCTTTGGGTAAAGGCTCAACCCAAAACATATGATCTGCTCTACTGTTTTTGGGGTCAGTTAAACAAAATCAACCTACCTAGTGAATGAAATGAAGAATGCTGAATGGAATCCAATTGTGCAAATCAGTGCTTAGAACCGTAAGAAGCAAATATGGCTCTGAATTTTGGTGAAGTTCATGGCCCTTTTCATGGAATTTAGTGGTTCAGATTTTCATAGGAGACTCATGTAATACTCCTTGCACTGACAGGGTCTGGCATCCATACCAATCCTTCTTTAAAACCCTTTAAAAACCTTTATTCTCAAGAAAAAATAATTGACTTTCATTTTCTGAACTTCTCACAGGAAAAGGAAAGTGTTAGCCAGTGTATTAGAGACCTAAAGGCTATGGCACCAGCTTGAAAGGAGTGTGGTTCATTACCAGATTTAACAAACATTGGGCCTACTTTTTGTGAATATAAATTTTTGTTGTTTTGATTGTAACCCATGGGTCATAATGGCAACTCTGAAATAAAGATGCGATAATTTTAAAATTGTGTACTGTCATTTCTTTTCTGCCTTAAGTAGTACTTGATTCAGTGATGATAAAAGTTGCTCTTCTGGAGAAAATACCAGAACCTATAAATATTTGGTTGTTGAGGCATTGTGTTCCATGCTGTTCCTCATCTTCCATCAAGTTTTTCAGATTATAAATTATTGTTGAGTTGAATTTCATATAGCTTGTATTTCAACTTTACTGGGTTGCTACACTTTAACCCTAAAGCAAATAGTACAATACTCAACTATAACAATAATATTAGAATTACAATGCTGAAAATTATTTTAACTTATTAACTGCAATATCTCGCATAATATACCAAAAATAAGCTTGAAAATTTTCATCTTTGTGAAGGAAATTGATTAACATAATGAAAGTGACTATGTTTACAGCCATATATTACTCTTCATGTACATTTCAGTTATTACACCAAATAAAATTTGAAATTATCATGAATTTGCTCCTTATTAATTATGTGGGTTCCAAACTAAAGCTATTAAAGTACATATCACTGTTTCATTTTAAGATATGACAAGAAGTAAAGGAAGTCTCATTAATAATACCATACAAATATTTGAAACTATTATAGCCATAACTAAATAATGTCATAAATTAGGTACACTCTATTCATTATCCAATTTGTTTGCAAAGATGTTTCATTTGATTGTGTATTTCTGGCAAAGTATGTAACTCTAGGTATAATACTTTAAACTATTCAAGTCAACAACTGCATATAAACCAGTAGATTCAATTTTCCACCATTTTGACAATTTACTTGAGTAATGCTTTAAGTAGAGAGGGAGAGAGAGAGTTTCATGAATACAAAATTGTGTGAATGCTGATGATCAATGATGCTATTACAGTGGAGTGAGAGATGCAAATTGTGTGAATACTGAAAATCAATGATGCTATTACAATGGTGTGAAAGATGCAAATTATGTGAATACTGATGATCAATGATGCTATTACAGAGGAGTGAAAGATGCAAATATTTGGGAAGATACTATTCTAAACACTAATTTAAGCAATTTAACTATTTTCTTTAGAGGAAATGGTAAAGTAATCAAAATCTTATGAAAGTCTTGCCATCATGCAAAACTTCCCAGTCAGAATAACAAAATTAAACCTTCCTACACAAACCTTCATGAAGTGACAAGTACATACACCACTATCATTTTAGCAAATGTAAAAATAAAATACAATTGTATCATGAATCCTGGTTTAAAAAAATTTAGGTGATTTTCTCCACAAATTTTCTGTAATTCACTGACCAACAAAAATTGAATTTCGTCTTCTGCTGTCAATGACATCAATAATTCTTGAAGCTATGGGTTGATCTGCAGTGCCACCATTTTCATTAATCTCCAAGGCACTTTTCAATTCAGCAATCTGAGAATCAGAAAGGTTACCATTGTGGTACACAGTCACCCATCTATCATCCTTACTAACAAATTGACCTACGCGCACATCGAGGATAAACCCAACTCCATGATCAACTTTATCAGCCACATTACTTCTCCCTGCACCAAGCTTGTGACTCACTTTTGCGAGGACAAGAGCATCAATAACAGTCACAATTCCACTCTTGTCTACAAGAAGGTCAAATCTTTTGGCAGCAATGGGTAAGATACTGAAGGGATCTGCATCTCGGGTACAGAGATTTTTAGCCAAATCTGGCGAGACTCCCTGTGCTTTCAGCATGTCACAGAATTTTTGAAGAGCTTTTCCATTTTCCAGTGCATCTGCAATGAGTTTTGCACCAGCTTTCTGTGATTCTGCTTTGTTTAAAGCTTCAAGTATGTAACCACCTGAAGGAAATCAAACGTTGTCTTAAATTGAAAATATAGGCATAGATTATATACAAGTTTCCAAAAGCTACCAAAGAATTGTCAAGAAAGCTTTAAGGTTAACATAAAACCAGTAACTTATATTTCAGTTGCTATGAATAAATTCTAGCTTCACATTCATGGCAAGGCCTTTTGTCAATTGTTTCCAGGTCATTGGGTTCAGTTAGGTGGGAGGAGGAAAACTGATCAAGAAACCCTGGAGAAAGATCTCTTTGGAGTAAGGACAAGAACCTAAATGGCACACACGGCTGCACTATACCAGCCTACCGCCATACTTGCCTTGTTCAATCACAAGTTCTTTCAAATCTTCAGGGCCCCTTCCATTCAGACAGCTGATGGCTTCTGCAACCTCCACACTGTTACCTATAGCTTTTCCCAATGGTGCATCCATGGTGGTGATCAGGGCCACTGCCTTGATGCCTAAACCAACGCATATACCAACCATGGTCTGAGCAAGAGCCTGAGCTCTCTCCTCCGTGGTTGCAAAGGCTGCTTTGCCAACTTTTACATCCAGCACAAGGGCTGATGGGTTTTCTGATAGGAGGTGACAAAAAAAAAGGTCAATTTGACATTATCACTGGTATCATGCAATTATTGGATGAGGTTGACCGTGAACACAGACAAGAGGTTTGATAATTCAAGATATCCAGTGAAAACCACATTTCGTAATTATTTTATAATACAAATTTTAAACAATCAGCAATAGAAGACACTTCTCCCTGAGTTTGCAAAAGTTTGAGAACACTGCACATGATGACCCAGTATCTGCTGAAAATATTGGGTTATCATATAAACTTTACACTCTATTGTATATTGACTGTATGCTCTCCACCAATCAGAGTTCCATGGTAAGTCTGACATGAAAATCTTTATAAATGACAAAGTGATCTTTTTCTGATAAAGAGCCACCCAACCCTTTTGACCATTGCCTTGCCTCATATCAGATGCTGGTTTTTCCTACCATATTCCAAGCCAAGCATTATACCATTATATCAATTTTTCCTTTCTGCCTGTTTTTCTACCAGTAATTTAATGGAATCAAGTTTATTTTCTCCCAGTCTGATTCTCCAACCTTATACTCAGGCAAGAGATTCAACACCTTTAGAATCCAATTTGAGGATAGAATGGCCAGTAAAAGATTGATAAATTATCTCATTCCAAAGGACAAATGGCCATAACCAAAGTTTGATATGAATGGTACCAAGCATATCATAAATCATGTGATCATAATTGCTGCTCTAATATTATTAACAGATAGAAAAGCCTCAGCTGAGCTCTGTTCTATTATAAGGCACCCAGGAAGTGGCTAGAGCACAAAAGAAGTATTTCTCCCCAAATCTTTCTGAAAGTATCCATACTGTTCAGATAATCTGAGTTCAACTTCTATCGCAAAACCTTTGCAACATCAGACAGTTGATATAAAAGTACTCGTACAAACACCATGGTCATAGAGATTTTAAAGAAGTATATTACATAGAAGGTCAACCTGAATTATTTCAGTGGTTGGAGGAAGGGATTGGAGAGAACAAATTCTCAGTGAGAGAGAAACAAGCTATATAAATATTCAAAGGTTTCTGATGCAAGTATACATCACAGCCATTGCATACCAGCAGCTTTCTTTGAGATAATAGAACTTGATATCAGAGGTATTGACGATACTGTAGCTGTAACATCCCTTATACGGTACAAAACGCGATCAGCAGGAACCACCGACTCCGTCTGTCCAACAATACAGCAGCCGACTTTAGCCAGCACATCACACATCTGCTTGGCGTCTAGAGTCACTTGAAATCCTGGTATTGACTCTAACTTGTCTAGAGTTCCTCCTAAAGGAGATATAAAGTTGACAAAAATGAATTCAAACATTCAACCTAACGTTCCATAAAAAACTTTTCTGAAATCTTTAAAAGCACCCTAGTTATCTAGAAAAACGTATTTTTTTCAAATAAAAGTCAATAAATCAAAAAGGTGTCATAATCTCGGACATGGCCGAATCCCCTAGGGGAACTTCGCGGCAACCGCTCACCTTGGGGCTCGTCTTTCCTGTTATTTCCATATTTTGTTTACATCGCACTGTTAACAAAATTCATACGTGGAAGCTTTTTACTTATGGAAAGATCTTTGCTCATGGAAAAAACAAAAGCCGAAGAAACTCCTTAGTAAAAAAAAAAGAAAAAAAAACATGCCCGAAGAAGAAAGAAAGAGTACCATTCTGTCAAGAAAAGAAAAAAATTCCTTTGTGAAAGCGACTAGTACTGGCGTAGCTCCACGCTGGCGTCCAGATTTTGAACAAAGAAGTCACCGTCAATCCAAAATTTGCCACACATAATGTTGAAAAGGAGGTTTCCCTTTTTTATTAAATAAGAATCAGCTATGATGCAAAAACATTAGCAATCGCCTCGAATCGTAATTTTGAGAGCTGTCTGTCGATTCTCTGTTTTACATCTCAGCACATTTTGCGGTTTTTTCCATTTTTGCCGTGGGTTTTGCCTTCGCCTTTCGCAACTTTGCCCATAATTGTATCGTCCTCCTCAACGCTCCACTGAAAAGTAAAACGTGTTTGCAATGGGATACTTTTCGCGGGAAATCTTGATCATTGTTTCGTTTAATAAATAGGCGTTGCCTCGTGTTGACAGATTTATTCGATGACAAGAATCGTGATTGACATTAATTCAATAGATTGATTTAAAAGCGTTAGATTATTATGTTTAAGTCAGTTTTTCAGCAGAATCGAAGTGAGAAAGAAGTTATTTTGTTATCGTTTTTCTGTCTCTAAATCCGCTTACCTGGAGAATCTGCTAACCCGTAAAGTGAGACTGTTGTAACGACCCGCCACAGAAGTAAGTTTATATTGAAGTTTTTGAATTTAGTTACAAGATAAAGACTTGATTTGCGTTTGTTCTAATTGCGAATTATAAATGTATTTCTTTTAGATCGAATAATTATTAAAGCTTGGCTTAATATTATACGGTTTGTGGTGGTCACTTGATCTAATCAGTTCCGAGTAAGGAAACAATCATCGTCATTGACGCCAGGAGGTCCGGTTGTCCGATTGGTTTGCGTTTTAGGAGGCGAGATAATAACCTCCTGGCGTTGTGCGAGTTGTTTGCGAAACTTTATGACCTGAAATCTCTGATTTTGGGGGGAAAACAACCACTTTGAGCGAAATTATAGAGTATATAAATTTGGCCGATTTTCGTCAAATTTCGCCAAAACATTCCGGGAATTATGACAAACGAAAGTGTGTCGGGAAATTATTCGTCACGGGGTTTCCATTTACGCAACACGCATAACAAAAAGAGTCAGACACGTTTACGTTGATTGATGCCTTGTGAATAAGACTGTGTAGTCATTTTACTCGTGCTGCGCCATCCGCTATCGGATAAATTCAATAGTAGAACCTTCAGTCGTTTCACGCTTTACCGGCTTCTGCCACTTCCCTAAGAGGAAAGTCGCTTAAATCATAGTTTTATCGTTATCTGCAGTTATTAAGCTTTCTTTGGTTGTATAGTCTGCTAGGATTTACTGAAACTAGCCGCGTAAAAATTTTTACTAAAGGATACCCGCGAAGGTGGGAAGTAACCTTTAGAATGTGTACAAATCGCTGATGCGTTGATGGCGTTCGGATATAATGAGAGGTTTGTTTGCGGTTGGAGGTCTTATCTTCAATTAGATGTAAACAAAAACAAACGTGGATGAAGTCTAACGTGATGTATTCTAAAGTTAAAACATCAATTTAAATTAAATATAGAGTAGAGCATACCAGTATGACCAAGGCCTCGACCAGAAATCATCGGCACCTTCACTCCACACACAGCCAACGCGGGTGCGAGCGCTAAACTCACTTTATCCCCCACTCCTCCTGTTGAATGCTTATCTGCCACACTTCCTTGCCACTCTTTAGGCCACGTCAGAGAACTGCCCGACGAAAGCATCGCTTTCGTAAGGCTTACCGTTTCTTCCCGGTTCAGTCCCTTTAAATACATAGCCATGAGCATCGCGCCGATCTGGCTCTCGGACGCACCATTCGACGAGTACGAAGCCTTCACGAAATGATGTATCTCTTCCTCGCTTAGTTCATCGCCATCCCTCTTTTTAGCGATCAGGTCTGGAATGCAGTATTCACTGGACATTTTAAAGAGTTACAACACTACAAATGATACAAATGAAAAGAGAACACAGCCCCCTAATTAGAGATACACGAATAACGCTTTTCAGATGAGTACCTCAAATTGTAACATGTATTGTTATATTTTTCTTAAGGTCTATGGCCACTCAGCCCACCTGACCCTAAGAAATTTTAGAACGTTTCCCAATTCAAGTTTCATTTAGCGTCAAACATAGTGAAATAATTCTACGCTGCAATAAGACACGTAAAGAATCATAAGAATATTTAAATACAGAATATGTAGAGAGCTAGGAGCAAGGTGCTCGAAATTTCTACGTCCCCTCACCTCCCCCGATTGTAACAATATCGTCGCGGATGATATCCTTATTCATCACGTAGAGCTGTCAGTGATATGCTCATTGCTGTTTTGTGGTCAGAATGGGAGGAACAGATTTAAAAACGAAACATTATTCCGTACATCCATCCGTAGAGTTAGAATAGCGGTGTTTTCAGTCAGCTGAATTTTTCGGTTGGTAAGCGTTCAGCGATGTCGATTGTTCTGCTGGCGCCCTGAACACGTTTCCATGGAACTTATGAGAACCACTGATCTTGTACCTGACCTGTGCACCCGGTCAGTCACTTATAAAAGACGCTGCGAAACATACGAAAATGCTTCCATCGATAACAAATGGACAATTCAGAATTGGTTCAAGTCCCATTCACGGTTTAAATGGTGTTCATGGAATTAGAATTTTAAACAACTCAAAGGCAAAGGACGAAGAAAGAAACTGTCCGAGTTTACCGCTCATTTCCGAGGGTTCCTTTACCTCGCTCGTCAGCAGGAGATCGGGGAAAACTTCTCCAAATGGTAAAGGATCAGAAAAAGGCAATGACCAGGCAAGTGAATTAGTTTTTACTAAAGAAAAATCGCGCACAACACTTATCTCTAAGTAATCCATTTCCTGCATGCTTAGTTTGTTTAAGAGATGAATACGCTCTTTGTTGATATTTCATGAAGGCATGCCGTGTTTATTTTGAAACTAATTATAAATATTTGGAAAGTGGAATTTCTGTATGGATAAACTTAAGCTAACGAAAGGAGATATTACGGAATTGTCTCAATCTAATCTGTCATTCCTAATTTCAAGGCGATGTAGGTAGGCTGATTTCAATAGATCGAATTATTTTGATTTGGCGTGACGCGAATTTGTGATTTGTTTGTGTTAGGTAACAGAATATTTGATCATAAGTTTAATTACTTTCGGAGAGGTGTCCATACTGTCCGATTTCAGACGCCGTGGAAATAAATTTCTTCATGCCCATGCTGTAGTTCATGAAATGAAGAAATTCTAAACCGAGAGCGAATCTTGTTAGGAAAATTGCAGTCATGTAGAAAATTTATGTTGAAAGCGTCTTGCTTGCATTAGCAAATCTGGATACTTGGGCAGAAAATATGATCTTTTCAACAGATTGAGTCTAACAAATGTAAAAAACAGTATTATAAGGCAAAAATTACCTTTGAAGCAGAAGTTGTATCCGCTTAAATAAGAGATGGGGTTTTAGGGTGTAAGGTTGTTGGGTGTGCTGGCATTTATACCGCGAAGTCACCAAATGTGTGAGCCTACAGTGTAGTTTACTAACAGAAGCTGGTTTACTTGGCCAAGAGGACTATCATGGCATCATTACTTGAGAAACCAAGCTGACATAAGAGTAGAAAAGTTCACAATTGTGGAAAAACACAACAATCAACTCTTTGTTAACCCTCTCACTCCCAAGATCTGATTGTGAATTCTCCCATCTAGCTGCATTACCTTGTAAATTGGTTACAAGAATTTGGTGATCAATCAGGGTCATGAATTCTACCTGATAAGTTTGAGTATTCTCATTACCTGTTTGCTGGATAATGTGTAGATTTTATAGGGAGAAGTTATGTGTTAATCACCTCTAGGTCAGTTGAAGGGTCAACTAATATTACTGCCCTTAGTGCAGGAAAAAGTTTTCATGATGGTTTCTTAAAAGGAAATAAAGTTAGTGCAAAAAGCAAAAAAATTGTTTACATTATATCTGGCAATTATTGCTATTACTTTGTATCTGCATTAATTTGCTTCACATTTGGGAAAAAATCACACAATGATGAAACTTTGCAATTGAATGTCCATTGAGTCAGCTTGTTTAAATGTCAGTATTCCAGCATTTTAAAAATTATGAATAAATCTCGCATGAAAGAACACTGTTGGTATTCAAGGAATGAGCTTAACTCTAGGTACTCATTTCAAAATGGAGATTTAGGTTGTTGTTGGAATTTTAGGTGAGATAGATATTAAGACAGTTATGATGATATCTGTTACTGCTTTGGTTAAGTTCAACATAATTAATAATTGAATATCTTTTCTTTTTGAAAAGGGACTCAGTTCTAATGGAGGAATTGAAAGGTCAGTCTAGAACAAGTAACCATTAGGTATCTTTGAATATCACTGGTCATTACCTTTGGAATGACAGCGTCATTGATAATTTGGCTCATAATGTTGTAAATCACAAAAAAACATTCACTTTGTTTCAAAGCAGGCATGGTTTTGTGAATATACTGTGAAATGTGTCAATCCATGCTGAATAACAATAAATTTCTTCAGAATACAGCCTCTATCCTGGAAACAAACTTTGTGATTTTGCAAATTCTTGGCTGTTCTCAAATAAGTGTCCTTTGTCCACATTATAATGCCACCTTACGGTATCCAGTCACCTCGCCACCAAGCAGACTCGCCACCAGCGAACTCGCCACCAAGGAACGATCTCGCCACCAATGTACTCGCCACCAAGCGAAGTCTTCTCGCCACCAACCACCAATAAAGAGATTAGTCGAGGACAGTAGGATGTTCGGCTGATAAGTCTGTACTCAAACTTTATAAACGTATGTTGTCGAAAGCACGTTCGAAACCGATAAGTTTATTCGCTTGTCTGTACTCAAACTTTAGAAATGTATGTTGTCGATAGCACGTTCGAAACCGAAGTAAGTTTTTATTCCTCGCATCGAGTTTTGCAATTTCTCCTTGCTTACGTGCAAAAGACAAACGCGATACGTTTTGATTTCAATGAGTTAGGAACGGAACACATCTAACACGTCGCTGAAGGTCATAATTTAAATACAGACAAGCGCACAAACCTATCGGCCGATTTGAATTGTGCTCGTTCGAACATCCTACTCTCCTCGACTACTTTATTCTAGTTTATCTCTTTATTGATGGTTGGTGGCAAGAAGACTTCGCTTGGTGGCGAGTACGTTGGTGGCGAGATCGTTCCTTGGTGGCGAGTTCGCTGGTGGCGAGTCTCCCTGGTGGCGAGGTGACTGGTAACCCACCTTACAAGTATGACTCAAGCACAACTTTTGAAAGAAAGTTGCTTGAGTTTTTACTTGTTCTTAAGATATGGTACAAAGGTGTAACAATTTTACTTTTAGTTTGTTTGATATTCTTTTAATAGATCTTTTTCTTTTTAATAGTGGATCGAGTGAGTTGAAAATGAAACAGTTACAGCTTGATTGTGAATTTAAAAATGCTGAACGTGGTGGGTTCCCTCAAGGGCTTAAACCTCGCCTTGCTGTAAGTTGCAACAATCATTACTGTAACATTATTGTTGCAATAAGACTTAAATGTTTTCAGTATCATCCCCAACTGAAGAATTTTCTGGCTACTGCCCAGACTTTTGTGGCTAAATTTCAGTGGTGTGAGATGTACTTTTTGGTTACTGTGCACCATTCCCCTTTCAACCAAAACATTGTCTTGCACTTGGAGGAAAGTATCTTGTGAATATTGCGTTCTTTTTTCAATCATTATGTCACCCTGCCAACTGAAAAAGTACTCCTGTAAGTTTGTTCTCTCAAATATTTATTTTATATCCTTTTTTTAATTGACCAGACCTCAAGTCGAGTCTCACACCTACCAACAATGGGATTTCACATGTAAGTGAGAGGAGACAGAAAATGTTAAAAGGTTATTAGCTACATGTATACAGACAAATAAAATTGGTCTGATTGTTAATAACGGAAATTGACTGCAATAACCAAAGGGTAAAAATTTAAGAATTTGTTCATGCTTAGCATGCGTATATAGAGTTTAATAATAGATGCACATGGGAAGTTTGGAGAGCACGAAAAATGCGTAAGAGTAGCTCGAGGTGCAGCTGAGAGCAACTCTAGCTTTTTGAGTGCTCTCCAAACTTCTCAAGTGCATCAATAACTCAATATATGCACAGCTAAAAGCATAAGAAAATTCTTTTATAACAGAGCAACAACAAGGATCTGCGTAAAGAAGCCTTTTATTGTGATAGAGTGCAAAATTCTCACAACACACACAAAAAAAAGTAAACAAACGTCCCTATTGGCTGGTCAAAAACATGCCACATTTTATACTTTGGTTTGAGTGAGAACATTTAATCCAGTTAACTGATAACTGTGGATGAAAAGTTCAAGTTTGAGGGGAAAATGGAGAAAATCAAACCCAAATGTCATAAAGTGTCACTAACAAATGCTCTCGTCATCTTATTTATGCACAGGCAGCGTAAATAAAGATTTTGTTCATAGCAGCTCAATAGGATTTATATAGGGCAAGCACGTGTGCTATGTTATAATAGTCCAGTTTTCCCCAAAGCAGATGTAAATTAATTGACTGGTAGCTTTTACATTTTTGCAGTGAGTAAATTTTAAAGATGCTGACCATTTTCTTTTTTAATCTTATACCCTTTCTTAAATTTCAGGACGAGCACCTCTGAAAGATTCATACATCATCAATCAGTGGGTCAACCTGTGGAAAATTTACATAACAGGAGACAACTGGTAAATTAATATAATTCATAGATATCATCATTGCTCCAAATAGAGTCACCAACTTATTGTGGTTGGGTAGTTGCATGCCTCATTGAGTCCCCCCCCTCCCCTCCAGGGCTATGTTGAATAAAGTCTGGTACTCTTGGACCCTTGCTAATTACAAACAGAGACTAGACAAGGAGCGAAATCTGAGATTGGAGAAATAATATTCATGTATTGGGGAAATGCAAGAGGAAAAGGTTAAACATTGCTTGCTCAATTGTGCATTTTAAATCACGAGTTTTGATACTTTGATATGCTGTAGACAACAGATGACAACACCAACAAGAAAGGCTATCCAATGGCACCTGGTGGATCAACTGTTATTGGCACTAGGTCAGTTCTGGTTTTTCACACAGAATTCACTTTTCAGAAAGACCCTAAAAAATTGTAGCAAAGACAAAAGGATCTTCTAAAATACCTCCATCTCTTACAGTAAACCTTTCTTATCTATAAGAGATTTTCAACAAAATTTTAGTTCTGGTAAAGATATTTTAATACTTTTTGCAGACTGCAATAGTGGTGAATTCCTTTAGGATCTTGAAAGAAATGGTAAATCTCTCATGATCCTCGTTAATGTACCCAAACTCTCGAAGTTTTCATCTCCAGCCAAAACTAGGTTGTTAAAACTGTCATCTTCATCATTAACTTTGTACATGTCTTATTTTTGAGTTAAGAAAGCACCAAAAGTTACTCAAAACTTACTAAAATATTGAATGAATTATGATTGAACATTTATTTATATAAATGTTGCTTTGCTATCTGGGTGAGAAGTTTCTAGAATTGTATATCATTCAGTCCCTGAGCTGTTTTAATGCTCAGTAATCTGCATTGATTTATTTTTATTGATTTTACCTCTGTTTTCAGGTATAGGATGCCATCAGTAGGAAATGCTGTTTCTCCAACTAAAGATGTATCTGTGGCCTTATCATCAAATCTGTCTGAACTTGCATCCCCCCGTAAAATACACAAAAGAGGTGTTAGTAAACCTAAAGAATTAGAAATACACTCACGATCATGCTCTTGTCGACGTCACACACAAGAGAGAGATCAAAAGGCGACCCTTAAATCAAGATCTTTAGATAGTTTGAGAAAAGAGGTAAGTTTTACATGTATGCTTAGACATAAACATTCTTGACTTTTAATTCCGCTCTTCAGTTATTAATTTTTATAATTTTTTTAAGAAATATCTTTTTACAGTTATTTATAACTGAGTAAAGCTTTTATCGCAGTGTTAACAGATTGATTTTGACAAGTGTTCCTGTTTTTGCTCAGCGATTGAACAAAGTTGAAAGAAAGGAAGGTCTTAACAATAAAAAAACAGTAAAACCAACTGACAGGCCTCCTCCAAAGAAGCAGCAAATGCCCAATGGTATGAAAGTCATGAGTATTCTTATTTTGTAACATCATATGCTGTACAGTATGTGAAGGTAGAGTCTGAGACTACAAGCCATGTGGCCTGTCTTGCAAGACCAGTTTCTTGAACATGAAGTGCACAGGAATATTGTTTTATAGTTGAATGTCCCAATTATTTGCTGCCAGGCAAATTCAAGAAGATCTTAATGTGAATAACTTGTTCACTGATTGCATCATGAACATTGTGAAAGGAAGTGTGACTGAAATGTGAAAGTATTGGACTCAAAATTGGCTTATTCCAGGTTAAAAAACTGCTTCGACCAGTATTTGGTCCTTGTAGTCTTGGGTTCCACCACTTGCCTGAGTTTCCTTCCACCAGTTGGAGAACTTGTTAAACATTTTTCTTTAAATGTGAATTATTTGTTTAAGGATTCTTGAGTAAAGAGCTTGAATACCAACTGGAGTAGCTTAGTGCATTTCCGCAATGAAATATGACAATAACGTAATCTATGGTCCATAGCAGGCTATCCTGTCAGCAGTTGTTCAGGTTTTCCTGACATGTTGTTTTTACCCATTTGTAATCCAGGGCCCAGTTGTTCAACAGCCAATAAGTGCTACCCTTAGGTCAAATTTCAATGCAGGTTTCTTTATTTCCTTTAAAAGCTTGTTCAGGGTGTTTTCTCTATTCTCCTTGGAGCATCCAATCACAACATTGTAGACAAAAAAATTATGCTGGATTTTCTTTTAAAGCTTTTAGATCTAAAATCAAATTTGCACTAATCTTGGGCTATCTTAACCCATCTTTGAACAACCTGGTCCAGGGTGGAGAGAGGCATTTTGTGTATTTAGTGTCTTGATCAAGAACATGTTGGTGTATGGGATATGTTTTGTTGTTAAATACTTAGACTTTCATTCAATAAAACAAGCACTTTGATTGGTTGATTCTTTGTCACGTGCCTCTGATCAAATTAAAATGTATCCCGACCGGGATATAATTGCACTGTTGTTGCTGCATGCAGAATACAACAGCACATGATTGTTTAAGGGAAGGTCTAAATATATAACAAAGCACTTAATGTATGGTCACAAGGGAAACTGGTTAGTTTTGTTTTCTTTCAAGTCCTGATGTTTCCTGAGATGAAGTTGAGGGAAACATCAGGACTCCAGGGAAAACAAAAGTAACTGTTTCCCTCAGGACCATATATTAGGTGTATATTTTTTGCCTCACTTGGTACTTGTTTTATCTTCAGTATTAGATGTTCCACAGTCAAGGAGAAAGGTGATGTATTTTCTTCTTGTCTTCTTTTAAATTGCTAAAACATGTTTTAATTCATTGAGCAAAAAAGTTTCAGGTAGTTTAGAGGCTACAACAACAGCAGTAAGAAGTGATACCTGATTTAACCATTTAATTTCTTTAAACAATGATTGTATCTCAATGCAGTTTAGCTTGACATCAAGGGCTCTTGTTTCCCTAAACCTGTCACTCCCTAATCTCATTATTGTAGTAATTCTCCTTACTGTCTGCCATATAATTCTTGTAATGTTAGTTCTGAGAATTTGGTATTGGATCCCCTTACTAGATATTGTAGCGGTGTTGTATGGAGAATTTCTGTCTTGGTCTTGGTCACTCATGGAAGTTAAAGGCTTAACAATTGTTTCTTTGCTTGTTTGTTTTATTAGTAATGAAACATTCAATTTTTTTTTGCTCTTTATAGAGTAAAAGGGCAAATGTACTTGCATCAGACAGCTTCTTTAATCTCCCTGACTACCAAAAACGAGTTAAGAAGTCTACATCCAAACTGACTGGTCAGACAAACCTTAAATCCCTAATGAAAGTGAAGGAAGTCAACAGGACAGAACCAGTACCCAGAATTGACATTGCAACCGAAGAACACTTAGAGGAGTTGATGATTTATGTCGAAAATTTTGATGAAGACCATGGTAATAAAAAGGAAAAAGAAGATGTTGTTGAGCAGATGGATTTAGAATATTCAAAAGACGAGAGGTTCGTTAGAAACCAAGATCAGGGTTAATAATGGTATTGTTATCAAGAAACTTGTTATTTCTGAATAGGATGTGGGCTTCAAGGCCGTAAGAATGAGTTTATACCAGTGATATAAGAAAGAAAGAAAACTTTATAGCAGAATTAGAGGGGAGGGGATGTGAATCATTTTTCTTCTTGTTCCTGTGTGTGTTTGATATCCAGGAAAGTTTTCCAGTTCTTTATTTTTTTTATGAATCGAGCTCATCTTCAACTGGTTTAAGTTGTTCCCTTTTTGTGTTATAGGGAGCTCAAAGAACAGTCCAGTAGATTAGACGTCACATCTGCGGCCTCCTTAACTGTGTGTGAGCCACAACGATCAGTCACACCCAGGCTTTTAAAGGTTGGGATATGATGGTGATAGAACAGTTTTTTATTGCGTTTTGTTGAACCAAAATTAAAGCTTTTAAAATGGCTAATCGGAGCTAAGGAAAAAATCACCAGTCTGGGAGTCTGTGAGAAATCAAACTGAGCACTGGTACGTATTACCTTAACGTTAAAACCTGAGAAAACGAGATACCCAATTCGTGTTTGGATTTAGTTGTACATCGATTGGCAGAGAAGGTGGTGTGAATGTTTTTAACCAATACTGAGTGGTGTTAGAAAACTAATGTACCGATTAACCGGTTTGCTTGCGTTTGGCTTTACTTCATTCTGTAGTTGGTCACAATTTTCCGCTTCTTTCTCGACCAATCAGATGTCAGACCTTGTGATTTTTTCCTTTGTTATGATTGGCCGTTGTGAACACATTGGCTCTTGTTTGACCGAAAAACACTCCTGAGTATGATCCATGTTTCTGACACCCTATGAAGCGCTCATACAAAAAATTGTTTTTCATCAATATTGAGAACATTTCCTTTTAAATTTAAATGCACAATTCGACTAGGGTGTAAGAACAATTCAGTTTTGCTTTCAGAAAAGTCACGCCCTCCATCTCGCGTGTCTCTTCTTACGTGTGTTACAGGGTTAGTTGCGTTGCCGAGCGGCTGGTACGCATCACTTAAACCAGTTAAGCGTGAACGGTATTAGGTCTTGTTATTTTTAAAGTTGTTTGCTTATTTTTATTTAACCCGTCCTACTAAATGCCGCAGGTTTCGTCAGATCAACAAAAGGATCTTTCCACCTTATCTGCAATTTTCAAAAAGTTGGACACTGATTGTGATGGGTTAGTGATTTTTAAATGCGTTCATGGTATGACGTAAGGGGTGAAAGGACTGCTGTGATCCTTTCTGCTCTATGTATCGGTTTCATGTAGTTTTGATCTTTCTGGGGGGGGGGGGGGGGGGGGTGGAGGGTGCAGTGGCGATGAGTACATCTAAGGACTGTGGAGTATGTTTTGTGACGGTTAAACACATTTGGTGACGGTCAAGTGAGTCAATTGACAGTTAGATACGTCTAGTGACGATCAAACGCGACCTTCAGTGAAGGTGAAGTGCACTTAGAGGGGGATGTTTTGTGATGGATGGGGCTGAATTATGACTGACATGCAAGACAGTTGGGATGTCAGATGTAGTGACGTATTATAGTGATGGCTGGCGTGGCATGAGTACGTCAAAGGTTGAAAGGGAAATATCTTTTTTTATTATTTTTGTTTTCGTTTTGATATCTACAGTTAATGGCTTATCAATCAGGTTAGCTCTTTTTACCTGACTTTTTTAACTGATTTTTGTTATTAGACACTTATCTTTTGCTGAACTGAAGAAAAGCCTTCCACCGCATGTAACAAGAAAACAAGTTAGCTACCTGAAAAAGGTAAACATCGGCTAATGGTAAATATTTGGTAAATAGCCTTACTCATTCACCCCCCCCCCCCCCCCGAGAGATTATCGGTGGAAATGTTTTTATCTCTGGTTTCTGTTGTTGTTATTGTTGCTTAAAATCCTGTCTATATTCCAGATTTACGACATAGCTTGTGAGAGTACTTACTTTGGTTTGGAGGAGTTCACAGCCACTCATCAGATGTGCGATCTTTTAGCCAAATCAAGGTGAAGTCAACTTTACTCTTACTGATGAAAAGGTTTCGATACGAGTGCACTCACATTGGCAAGCTATTCTTGACAACTTCTCGCGGCTTCAACAATTTACCTTGATACCGTGTGTCAAATTGCTTTCCTTTTTTTGTCCCTCAGTTCTGCTGTCTCAAATGCACTCAACAGCCTGGATTATTCCTCAGTGGACTTCTGGCTTAGCACTTTCATGGTAATGAATGAAACTGTCTGAATTATTGAAAAGCTTAACGTTTTATCTCGCATGATGGTAGCTCATATTCCTCGCTCGCTTGTTTCTAAGAGTAAATGAGTGAACGTTATTGGATATCAATACATGTACATTTTATGCATCAATAAAAGGCCTGTGTAATTTATAGGATGACTTTATCAGCTTGTTAATATATTAACTTAAATCCTCCGACCGTGATTCCAGGAGCGATTCCATTTGTGAGGAAGGAAACTACACAAGCCATGCAAAGTGTTGAGGATTTTTTAAAGCGGCCGAAATTCAGCCTACCTTATGTTCAGTTTCTATGCCAAAAAGACACGTTCTTTGACTCAATTTAGCTCTTTTGCAGCCGTTTAGTCTCGCCACATAACACGCTCTCTCCATCACGTGACAAGGGCGTGACAAAGCATCGGTGATAGCGGGATGAATGTTCAATTCTAGGAATGTTTCTTTTCCTCAAAGGACAAGAGCTTTTTTTTTTCAGTACTCGATGAAAACGGATTGAAGTTGTGAAAAGCACGAACCGTGTCACTAAACATAAACCAGACATAACATAAATTTCCCTTTTTTCCAGGAATCTTTCTGCAAAGTTGACCAAAAACAGAGTGGAACCATAGATATGCAGTCCTTTGAGGTAAAGTATCTTGTGACCTACAAAAAACCGAGACTAAATTTGCGAAAGTTGTTCTTGTTCATCTTACGCCACGTAATATTTTTTTATAGAACATGCTGGCCTCTCTTATCAACGTTCATCCGGACTCCTTTATTCTGCAGAAGATTCTTAGTACCATAAATAAGGTAAGCCCTGTTATTTTTGTTATTCTGCCAAAATATCAGCAACCTAGGTGTTTTCTGAAGTCAGATACACAGAAAGCTTTGTTTTTCATGACTAATCGTCGTACATGTATCTGTTCATTTTTGTGATTCGAAGCCTTGTAGCCACCTGTTCTATTTCGCTCTCGATTGAGTTTTCCGTAATTTCGGTGGAATCGTATCTGATAAATTGATTCAAATCTACCTCTTTATCGGGCAATAGAAAGTGAAGAAATACTATCAACAGGATAAGTAGGCATTATTTAACAAAAACAAAACTACGGGGAATAAACGTCGAAAAGGGAAGACACGAACGGAACACTAGGACCCATGCGAGGCGCCCACCCTTGTTCCAGGCAGTTAGTTTGTGGGGACAAGCAATAAATGAGGGCGAGCCAGAAAAATGTTCGTGCCAACCTTTGTTCTGATTGCTCGCTGGGATTGGTTTGGTTTTGATTTTTCAGCACTCAGTTGAAACTGCCTGTATTAGGTAGGTTACTCACATGATTTTTTTGTTCTTCGTCTCTATGTTCAGACCAAACATGATACCATTAGTGGCGTGGAATTACTGACGTACATTCCGTATTTTGTGACTGCCGCACCAAAAGACCCTTAGCTTTACGCGGATGAATGCAAATGCAGTTATTCTACTAAAAGCGAGACTATTTCACAGTGCATCAATTCATTTATGGTATTGTGCGCTTTTTCACTATTTATCGCTGTGATTGGCATCTGTATGTCACCTGTTGGGGTAAGCAAATTCCTCGTCAAATCTGTACGATGTGTGGGCGTAGCTCAAAAGACTATCAGCTTTCATACAGGTCATCAACTTGGAAAACCCAACTTTGATGAGGGACAAAGAATCAAGATGGTATAACAACCCTTTTACGCGGTGAAAATAGAGATTTTAGGTGGATTCAGATTTCTCAGAAACGATCGTGATGAGTCGTAGTTCTGGGGTTACCCACATAATGGTTGGGCTAGCAACGGTTTTTTTTTCATGTACAGGATTATACTGCTGCAGTGGAAATTAAAGGATATCACGCACAATTATTTTATTATTGTACGGAATTTATCAATAAAAGGTGTTTACAATTTTTGTACTAAACGGAAGTAATTTAATTGTGGCTATTTGATCGATAGGTAAAAGTGAATTCTACAAGAAGGAACTAAATCTCTCTCTTGGAAACTTAATGAGAAATTACACTGGTTGAAACTTTTTTGCCTTGCGAATATCACATCATTCTGAGTAAGGCCAGGCTGGTCAAAGAATTATCTTAAATATCGCAATGACTGCTTCGAACCAAAGGAAACCTTTAGAAGAACACAAACGACAAAAGTCCAGTCATCAGTTATTTATGATACAACGAAGTTGTCCTTGATTGTTATGCTGTCTTTATTTTCCGACGGAAGACTGTTGCCTTGTCTCTTTGAAGTAAAGTCATGAAAATAAATAGAATTACCTTTAATACACGGATATAGCCCATAAAAAGTCTTAAGCTCATCTTTTGTCGAAACAAGATTAGAAAGCGCTGCAGCAAACTGAACTTTCGTGAGTGTAAGAGCTGTTTCTGTTTTCGGTGAGTGAAGACACTTTAATCGACGCGAAAAACCATTCTCACCAGCACGGCTTTTCGTTCCCAACGTGCTTTTCCTCTTTGGAAATCCTCAAACCTCGACAACTTGACCTTTCGTCGAAATTCCTGTCATGTCCTAAGTTGGCATCGTGCTTCAAACACGTTGCAATTGAGTGATCGAGAACACTCATTTGCTTTACGTGTTCGCTTTGGTCAGAATGGCGGACACTACGAGTAACACTCTGATAAGTGGAGATAAGAGGAGAGTTATTGCGAACATTGTGTTTGTTTTGAGGTTGCCGTTCTGTGGATTGAAAAACTTTACCATGTTCTTGGAATGTGCGCGCGCTCATTCCCCTGATTACGTGACTTTATGAGCAATACAAGATGCGCGGCGCAAAACTGAGGAATCACCTTAAATCAAAAGATCATATCAAGACTTCCAACAGCCCCACAAGATAATCCAATAAATATAAGAGTTGTAAACCCTATGCTGAGACAACTATTTTAAAGTATCCTTCTTAGTATAGCCAGATACATTAATGGTTGGAACTCTCTACCGAACAATTGTGTCGAGGCAGACAATGTTCGTAAATTCTAGAGGCTTCCTTAACTCTCTCAAAAACTGAAATACACTTTCGAAAAAAAACTACACCACAATTATTAGAACATATTGGGCAACAGAATATGAAAGTTGGAGAGAAAACGAATTTTGGGCGACTTGCCACAATATTTCAAATTTGTTCGATGGATGCTGACATCCTCTCTTAAATCGCTTGCAGGCCCGCCAACACTTTTTAACTCAACTCGAAACGTAACTCGAAGTCCAACCCGAATCCAAACTCGAGTATACCTCACTACCATTTACCACGGGAGTGGTAAGAGGGTGAGTAAGCAGTAGGAAATGGAATAAGGTGAGTTGGCCGGCGGTGTTCAATTGAGAGGTATGCGCAAGTTTGAAATTCAATCCCTGAAATTCCGATTTTTCTTACGTTTGAATCTTTCCTAGAAACACTCGACAATCGTTTCGATCAATATGGTGGATGGCGTAAAATACGTTCCGATAAGGGGGACTAACAACGAAGAGAGAGCAAACCGGCGAGTTTATTTTAGGTTTGCCGTCATGTTAGCATATTTTGGCATTCTTTCATGGCGTTTCATCGGCTTGGTGCTATACAGCATTCACGCTACAGATTGTTTCTTCCGGGAAAAGCTTGCCAGTTATCGCTGCAAAAACTTCACGATCTTCTCTTACGCAAACGAACTGGAGATAAGTTGGCAGGTGGCGTCGTTCATCAACATTGTTCTCGTTATTCTTGTGCTCCGAAAAGTGCCAGACTATGAAGGATATCTTTCTGCTTTACGAAACAACTCGAAGCATGCCCGGTTTTGGTCGCTTTTCGCTCAGTTGATGGTCGCTGTTGGTTACAACATCATCGTCATCTGCACAGAAACGTCTGGTGTAAGTAAAATTATTGAAGTTATGTTCCTTCTCGGAGAGATTGCAACGACCCTGGTAGTGTATCTGTGGAATACTGTACCCGCACCGTGGAAAGAGCCTAGAGACACCGTAAAGAATTTGGCATATTCACTCACTCTGCTTTTATCTATCCTGGAAAATTTATATCTTTTCGTCTTGATGTCCACGCAAGCAGCTTTCCAAGTAACAGGTGTGAATAACTTTCACCGAACACCATCCGCCCTTCATGCAGTCACTATCGTGGTCAATGCTGGAGAAGCCACCTTTTATTATGCCATGATGAAATTCTTTTGGAACAAATGGTTTTATGATCGAAGAAATCTTTTGATTAATGACAATGTTTAAGTTTTGCATTTGCATCGGTCACGGGTAGTCGGCGCTATGAATAATCAAAGTGCTCTGTGAGCAAACTCGTGAATTGACAAGATTTTTTGGATTATGTTTAATGTGATCTGGTTTAGGGAATTTTGTGGTTGACTGTCATATCTAGAGTACGAGCAGTAGTTCACACAATAACTCGTTCGCGTCTGAAGCGGATATAGTCATTGGCGGATTTCGTTATTGAAGGACATGTTGTGTGAATGCATGCTTGTATAGTCATTTTTCCATAACAACATTTGGTAATTACAAGAAATATATTACAGTAAATCAAGGCATAAATTTTTCTTCTAAGAATACCTATTGAGACCGTCCGTCTATTAGGTCCAATGTCCAATCATTCTACATCTACATACATGAGGGTGTGAATGGGGTTAACCGACTAGCGACAAAGGGCGTAAAAAATTACTGACTACCGACGAAACGGGGAAAAAATTACCGACTAGCGACAAATAAATCCTAACCGACAACCGACAACCGACATGGTCAGACGTGATAGGGATGTTTGTATTCAGAAAGAACAGCATTTTGATGATTTCTAGCACAGAAAATCCTTCTTCACCCGACGTAACCACATTAATTCCAAATTTAGCCGAATTATAGAATTTCTTGTCTTCAAATTACTTTAAATCCACGGGATCCTTCTTTTCGGTGAGCAGCGTGGGCTCATTTCTAGAACAGCGGCTTGTAATCGGGCTGACAAGACGCCCTGCTGTCTCATTTCAAGAACAGCGGATCACAATCGAGCCGACGAGACGCCCTGCTGTTGTCTTTTTATTGCTCGTTGTTTGTTCATGCGGTCGGGTCATGACTGGGATTGCTAAAGTCATCGTGAGTTTTTTTCGAAAAGGTGAAGAAGTCGCCATCGAACGTCATCGAAGCAGGGTCCCAGTAGACAAAGAAGCTCATAGAGGAGTATCTAAACTAAAAAAACATCTTACGGAGTTTTTAGGACTAAAGGAGCAGGCACATCAATATGGAATTGGCGGATTTTCGTTAAAGTTATTTCGCCTGGCGAAATCGCCTGCGGGCAAATGCGAAAATTTTGCAATTGCGACGGATGGGCAATGGCAGCTTGAACTTCCAAATTTAATATCGGATGAAAGTAGCAGTGAGCTCAACGGTAAGTGTGGAACGCGTGCAGCGGAGTTTGATGAATCACTTTAGTTCTGTAGTTAAATATTAAGCTCAAATATTAACGTGGTTAAACTCTGGTTCCACCGTTTTTTGTTTGTTGTTTTGTGGAGCGGAATGTTTTTTTTTCTTTTTCACCGTCCATTTGAATGCGAAAATTGAGAAGAAAAATCTCTACAAAGAAGTAGCGAGTAAATCAGTTTATAAGCTTCTTTCTGATTAATTGGTGAATGAACAACAGTGTAGCTTAACATATTAAAGACCCCGTTTATTTATACACGCCCTTAAATTTATTCGTTTCTGAAAAAACCAGACGTTCAAATAATATTCAATTCTCTCCTCGAGGGAAGCTACGCACGAGAGATTTCGCTCGATGTGCACGTTTTATACATCTTGACGAGCATTTGCTGATAAGAACTGTGTAAGTTTCTCAAAAGCCTACTAAAGAGAAAACTTAAAACACACGGTATTTAATATTTTAGTACACATTATCCAAGAGGTCACAAACTGGACCGGAAAGCCAGTAGTGTTGCTGAAGGCGCCGGCTACATCTGATAAAAGCAAGCAGAAGTCAATGAACGACACTGAGAAGAAAGGTGACGAGTCAAAAGTGAGAAGGAAACGGAAATCACGAGAAGAAGCAAAAGAAGATGAAAATCTGGCAAAGAGGATCATGACTGAAGGAGGTGACATCGAGAGAAACGAAAGGCAACAAGGAGACCTTCAAAAGTTTCAGGATGGTAGGGCTGAATTAGCACTTGTAGTTCGTTTACCTGATTTTCAAAAGTCATAAATTTCGCTACTTTGGAAATTCTACGGTATTCCTTGTTTATAAACACTGCCTTGTTTATACAACGAAAAACGCTCACTTGGTGCGTTCGCTACGTAAAGATAGTTTCTTTTAAATTCCGGCTAAAAACTGTATTATTATCACTTTGATGGGCATTGTGGCGCATTTTGCGTGCTAAAATAAAGAATTTGCCGGGCTAAAATGTATTTTTGAAAATAAACCAAGAAAACCAATGTTCGCGCCGTCTTCTTGTAGCGTTAACATTGACATTTGATGGAGTGACCATTCACGGCAATGCTACGAAATTCACTGCCTATCCATCCAGCGTCATAAATCTTTTGTCTATTACTCTACTTGACCAATGCGCATTCTTCTCAGGAGCCTCGAGCCAAGGTGGGCTTTATAAATGTGAACTTAGCGCAAAGACAGTGACCAAAGCTGTATGCAACTCGACTCTTCCTTGCTCTGAGGTAAACCAAGTATGCACCTTGAACGGGAGGGTAGTTTACACGGATACAAAGGCGGGAAAGGTTATGCAATACAACCATACAATGGTAGGAAGTGGCCACAACAGTTCTTCCGATGGGACACAAGACTCATGCTCATTCAAACAAATCGAAGGGATATGCTCTGTAGACAAGAACTTGTTTGTTACAGATGTTTCCGCTGGAAAACTGAAGATAGTGACGAGCCTCTCAGAAACGGTATCTTTTCTGGGGATTCTTGGCTCCCTTTACGATACCTTTGGAATTCATTCTAAGGGTATGAAACCAGACGGAGTGTCCTTGAAACAAGCAAAAGAGAACGTGACAAAGATTGACAGCTATGTAAAAGACACTGTGAGTAAGGTGAAAGAACGCTACCAGTTGAGCGAGACGTCTGCAACCAATGGTCCACAGGGAACTGTATCACAGAAGACGCAAGTATCTGTGTCTTTGCTTAAAAAGGGCATAGAAAGGCTATACAAGAACGTGATGGACATTAACCCCCAATTTGTAGATGATCTGCTGCTCGAAACGTTGCTCACAACAGTAGTGGAAAATTTGCACGCTGTTTCGCACCTTAAACACGAGAAATTTACGGTACTTACATATGCCCAGGATTTTGGAACAATTTGCAAGGAATCTCTGAAGCGCACATCTAGATGGGCAGCAAAGTACTACACGCATGACAAATCCTACTATCCGGTACCTCAATCCGCCATGCCCCTTTCTGCTATAGCTACGATGACACCTTTGCCAAGTGAGGACATAACACCAGGGATGGAAGGACAGATCAAAGAGTGGCTAGAGAGTTACAGACCAGTACGCCAACGGACGGTTAGGAGTGAGACCACAAAAGATAAGGCTGGGGCCTTGCTGAAGAGAGGCTTCGATATCCTGAAGAAAACACTGTATCGTCAGCAAATGCACAACGCGTTGTCAGCATACAATTTGTGGACGAAGGGGATGTTACTGAGGTGTTTGATGATCACAGAGAAGTACAAATCGATGAGTATGAGAAAGATTCGGATGACGAGGAATCAGATTTTGAAGAACATCCAGAGGTTGTCAACAGAGCGTGTGTTACCCGATCCGGCAGGGCTGTTCGTGCATTTGTGCGTCTCGACATGTAAGAGGTACTAACAGTTAAAAAATCCATTTAACGGTGCAGATTGATACGTATGACAACCAAATTTTTGGCAAAAAAAAAGAGAAAAAAAAGAAACCTCGCAGAAAAGCCACGAGAGCCGTTGAATAATGAGTGTAGTGAGTTTTTGTGGACGTCTCGGAAAAAAGACTTCCGTAGCTTACAAATTAAAATTAGGTATCCCAGGGGCTAGAGTGGGTGTTTCATTCTTTGTAGAATTTACCTCTCTTGATTTACTTCAATGCCCCGTAGTCGACAGGAAACAAATTCACATCTATAATAAAAGCTTTGGTGAATTTTATCGGTATACTAGATTTGCAAACAAAAGTGGGGTAGATGAGCACGTTGCTAAATTAAAAAACAGCGTTAACGAGGTTTAAGTGAAAACAAATAATGAATTATTACAAGTATTACACTTCGTCTAGAGTTTAAAGTCTTAAAACTGGGCAAATTGCATAATAAATGTGAATAATTAACGTGTATTTTAAATTATTAACTGAGATTTACCGACAACCGACAAAGGTAAAAAATCTTAACCGACAACCGACAAAGTAATGAAATTTTAACCGACAACCGACATTTTGACCCCCCCATTCAGACCCTCATACATACATTACTTCGACATCATTCTGCAGACGGCAGTAGACCAAACGCAGATGATAAGAATAATGATAAGTTCTATGGATGACACCACGAAAAGCCAGCTTTTCAAAGACAAACAAAAAGCACAACAGCCCATCACCATAACCAACCTTAGGGTTGTTCAGAGTGGCATGGTGTTTATGCACCAGAACAGCATTTTTAAGGATGTCTCCACGATGGCCATTCCATTTAAATATGTACCATCAGCAGCACCACCCATTACATCTGTAGCAGATGTTTTAAAAACTAAGAGGCAAGGGGATATGGTCACAGTCTCAGGCTTAATTCGATGGGACAGTGAAGCTTCAACACCACAAAACTCTAAACGACCAGTAAGAGATGGTAAATTAGTAGACTCAACAGGAACTATAGATATTTTGATTTGGTCAGACCACATTTCTCTGATCAAGGAAGGGGATTCCTTTGAGATCTCCAACTGCACTGTAAAGTATTACTATAGGTTGAAAATCAGTACCCCTACGGAAACCATCATAAAGCCAGCCGAGAAGCAAAATATTACCAACGTAAATACAGATGCAACTGCTATCAAGCCTCAAATCTGCTGCCCAGAAATACAAAATGTCATCATTGACACTAATGCAATGTGCAACACCAAAGGATGTAAGGGCAAAATCACAGGAAACACAGAATCTAAAGTTACGGTTCGTTGCACAGCCTGCAACAGAGCAATGCTCGTTAAAAACTGTTACGTTGACATGAGCACAACCTTTCAACTAGAAAAGGAAGAGAAGCAATTCAACGTTGTGGCAAA